TGTGTGTGTGTGTGTGTGTATACCATCAAATCAGATCTGATTGGTACAGGAGGAGATTGTTCCTCCTTCTCCAATGGAGCTTCTGGTGGATTCGAACTGTGCACCCTTGGGATTGCAGTGTAGCTTCTTGCCACCAGGCCACGAGAGCTCCTTTCAACTTCAAATTCTTAATAACTAATTTTCATCAGTTCTTTTACTTTTAAAAGTTATTATTAATAATTGAACCATGTTTATTTCAGGTCTCGGCCTTTACAGATAATTTCTACTTTAATTTCCTGAAAATGCTTACTACAACTTCAAGGACATTTCTAAGGAACTAAGGTGACTTGGCACCTAACAACAAAACAACAACAAGAAGGGTGGTGTTATAGAGCTAGTGCATACAGAGCCCCAGAGGAAAACTGGCCTGGTGGTACCTGTTCTACCACATTCTTAGCCTTACAGAGATTAGAGAGGTCACTTACTAAGAGCCTTTGGAATCTTAAGATACTTTGGAATTTGATGAAGAGAAGAACTCATCCAAACCTGCAGTGCTACAAGTGGAATGTGGAGGGAAGCTTATCCCTTGGCTTCTTAAGCCCGAGAGGCTTTCACATTCAATCTGAGATGTCTAATGAAAAGCAAATGTAAATCACCTAGATGATGAATCTCCATTTTTGCTGCACCTATATAAGTAATGACGGCCAACCTTCTTATTCTAAGGTCAAAAAACATTCTGCTTGAGATTGCCCTTTATCAAAAGGAAAGTAAGCAGAGGAATTTCATGTTTCAATAGAAAAGTGTTAAATCATACTCTTGTAGGCTAGGGAGCTCTGGTGGCTTACTAACAAGGAGCTGTACTGCCAACCCACAAGCACTAGGTTTGAATCCTCCACCTGCTCAATGGGGGGAAAATGGACAATCTCCTCTCATGTGATTTACAGGCTCCAAAAACCTGCTGGAGGGCCAGTCGGTTCCGACTCAATGGAACTCAACAATGACAACAACATTCATCCACATTGGTGTGTGTGTACACACACACAAATATATATATATATACACAGAACATAGTTATGAGTTCTTGTCAGACATCATAAAACACCTTGAAAGAATAATTTTCTCATTTTGCAGGCTTAAGACATTAGTTTCATTAGACAAATGTTCTGCATCCACTCACTCACTCACTTACTCATTCACCTCCCTCGAGTCTGTTCTGACCCACAGCGACCCTCCACTAAGATTCCAAGGCCATCCATCACAATGGCAGGAGGATACCCATCTTCTTCCGACAGAAATACACGTGGATTTGAACCACTGTAGACGTGAAACCTTTGGTTTAGCACAGAAACTCACCATAAACCAGCGCCAGACCTCCCCAAGAGGAATGTCTGAGGTTCTTAAAATCTTTAGGCAGCAATTTAAGATACAACTGTTAGTTTCTATTCATTCTCAAGAGACACTAGCTGACAGGGCTAGTAAATGACACAAGCCACAGTCTCACCTCTGCTGAGACCAGAAGATTAGATGGCTCCCAGCTACCGCTACCAACTGTTCCGACAGGGATCATAATAGATGAAAACCTGACAGAGTAGAAGAAACAGAACCAAGTAGAATTCTTAAAAAATTCTGACTTATGGTAAATTTGGACTGGTAAAAAAACAAAAACAAAACAACAAAACATACTGACTTAGGAACTTAAGACTAAAAAACTCCTTGAGACTACTGCTTTATTTTTGTTGATAACTATTTTATTTTTTTAGCTCTGTCATTTGACATTTTCTTTTTAAAAATTTATTTTAATTCATATTGGTTTGCTTACAAAGTTTGCACACATTGTGTCTCACACTATTCTTCATTCATATTGTGTTTCATATAATCATTTCTTTGCGTTATGTTTCATAAAATCAATCATCATTGGACCTTGCCCATCATTACCTTGTGTTTTCATCCAGATCCCTCCCAATTCCTTCACCCCCTCCCTCCACCCACGAAACTCTGCAACCCTGTAGTTTTACCCCTACCCATCTTCACCTCTCCATTCCCAAATCTTCATCCTTTGGGTTCCTGTACATGTTTTATTAGTTATCCTTCTATTTTTTAAAATAATGGTCTTATGTTATATTTGTCCTTATGAGACTGAGTTAGTTCACTCAGCATAACGCTCTCCAGTCTCTCCCAAATTACATAGTATATTTTTTAGATCGTTGTTCCTGAGTGCTGCATAG